ACCAAGATAACCTGGCCGATTTTAAAGTTAAGCCTGAAAATTACCAAGATAACCTGGCCGATTTTAAAGTTAAGCCTGAAAATTACCAAGATAACTTGGCCGATTTTAAAGTTAAGCCTGAAAGTGACGGTAACTTGGCTGATTTTAAAGTTAATCCCGAAGATTACCAGGATAATTTGGCCGATTTAAAAGTTAAACCCAAAGATTACCAAGATAATTTAGTTGATTTTAAAGGTAAGCCTGAAGATTACCATGATAACTTGGCCAATTTTAAAGTTAAGCCTGAAAATTACCAAGATAACTTTAAAGTTAAACCTGAAGATAAGGATGTTACTGTATATTTAGAGCCTACCAAGGAATTTGAAACTGCTCTAGCCCAGCAAGAGGCCCCAGTTTGGCCTACAGTATATGCACAAGAGGTAGAACCTGTTCTCAATGAGCAGGAGCAAACAGCTCACCGTTCTGAGTATCCTGAGAAGGAGCATCCTTCTGAAATTTATCCAGAAGCCCCAGCTCAGGACTCAGAGCCTACTGAGGAATTTGAACCTTTGATCCAACAGGGACAACCAGGTCCATTTTCTGAGCATCATGAATTGATTGCTTCACTTCCATATCAGCATGAAGCTCAATATTCAAACTTCCTCAGTATGACTGTTGAACCTCCACATGTGGGGCTTCCCATAAAACCAGAACCCACTACAGAAAGGGATATTTCTTCAATCTACTATGAGGTTCCAGTTTATTATTTAGTTCCCATGAATGACAAACTTTCTAAAGCCCAGCAACATAAGGCTCTACCTCTGCCTCCAGAGCTTTCTGAAGAGGTTGAACCTATACCAATTAATCAGAACACTCCAGCCCTAGAAGCAACTGAAAGTGAAATTCTTTCTACCCAACAGGAAGCCACAGCAGGCAATGAACACAATGAAGAAGTTGAATTTCCCGCCATCATGCAGGAAGCCCCAACTCAGCTTCCAAAGTTTCCTATGGAGATAGAACTACATGAGGACATAGGTTCAGCTCAGCTTCCAAAGCCACAAAAAACTATAGTTCATGCTCCAGTGCATTTTAAGATAGTATCAGGCCATGATCAAGCTCAGTATTCAGCATTGCCCAAAGCCACAGTTCCACACTTGGATGTGGAAATTAACATAACTCCAGAACCCACCAGAGAGTCTAAACACTCTTCACCTCTGAAGAAGCCGACAGTTTTAATGAACCCTGAGAAATCACGTCCAAATCCACACCAGGCTCCAGCTCAGTATCCCCACCCAACTCAAGTCACAGTTCAGCCTTTTGATCTGGACCTTACCTTAACTCCAGGATCCAGTGTGGAGATTGAACCTGTTCCAACCAAACAGGAGACCAAAACAAAACTTCCAACGCCACCTAAGGGGCTTATGTCTCAAGCTGTAGTGTTTTATGTGATGCCCGTTTCAATGCTAGGCCATGATCGAATTCAGCCTACAAAACCACCTGATGTACCTGTTTCATCTCTGGATGTAGGGCTTCCCTCACCTCCAGAACACACAGAAGGGGCTGAATATTCTCCAGTCCTGAAGACTACAGCTATGCCTCCAACTCAGCCTAAATTGACATTTCAAACTCCAGTCACAGCTCACCCTTTGAATGTGGAATTTACCATAACTCACCATTCTGTAAATCTTGCTGCAGAAAATGCTTTAGCTGTGCACATGGAACAGATTGCCTTTCCCAGCACCAACATATGTGAGCTCTGTACTTGCCAGTTTCAGGCACTGGTGTGTGTGGGTCTTCACCCAAAGCAGAGGCTCCACCAAGTGCCCGTGCCAGATCCTACCGCCAAGATGAAAATCTTCACTACTTTGTAAGAATCATCTTTTCTTCTTTGTGCTGGGAATTCTGCTTGACATAGCCTTTAAATTTTTCATTGCTTTTTTTTTTTTTTTCAAGTTACACTTCATTCTAAGTGTTCTTCCTAGGAGCACTTAGGCTTTGGTGCTACCTGACAGAAGGTTTTTAAAAACAATTTCTATTTGCTATTAATAATAATAAATATCTAACCCATTTTCTGTTAACATTTTCTTATTGATTTGTAGGAGTCAGTTTAAACAAAAAGAAGATTTGGGGGAAAATACATCCAAAATAATTAACTGTCATTACATATGCAAGAGATTGAACAGATAGGAAATTAAACTTCTATTATGAGGCCTCATTTGTGTCAGTGACCCAGGGTTACTTCTTTATTATGCAAACTGTGGGAAGCTCATAGCTCTAGAAGATAAAGGTGTTTTGTTTTTTGTTTTGTTTTGTTTTTTCTATAGTTGACTATCCCTCCAGGAGGTTGCAATGACTTTTTCTTGTCTTGACTTTTCTTTTCCTACTTAATATAAACTGTGCTTCCCATAGAAATTTCCACGGGAATGCTATTTCTTATACTGATGAGAATACGTGGAGAGAGTACCCTTGGACTGAGAAACTGTGAGTATATTCTTCCCAAGTGTGAATATAAAACTGCATTCTTGGGGAGCTGAGGGTTTAGCTCAGTGGTAGAGTGCCTGCCTGGTGAGTGCAAGGCCCTGAGTTTGGTCCTCAGCTCTCGGGAAAAAAGAAAAAAAAAAAAGCTATAAAGACCAAAAAATAAAAAATAAATAAGGCAACTATTGGACCCTTCTTGGCCCAGAATTCTGAAGAGAATACGCCTGATAAAATCATGTCTCCTCCACATCCTAAGCAATCTCTACTGATTGAAAGTTTAAAATATTAAATATTATGGGCAACGAGGATATAGTTAAGTGGCAGAATGCTTGTTTTATATACACTGTGAGAACTTATAGCCATAATGCTAAATAGTTCCATGGACCTTCTTTGAATTAACCAGGGCAATTTCAATTTATTTTCTGCTGTATAAATAATACATGAATTATATTCTTTGTGTGTGTGTGTGTGTGTGTGTGTGTGTGTGTGTGTGTATGCCAGTTACAGCCTGGGCACTGTTCCTAAGCTGCTTTTGCTCAAGGCTAGCGCTCCACCACTTGAGCCACAGCTACACTTTCAGCTCTTTTGGTGATTAATTTGAGATAAGCCCCTTTTAGCCAGCCTGGCTTTGAACCATGATCCATAAATTTCAGCCTCCTGAGTATGTAGGATTATAAGCATGAGCTACTAGCTCCTGATTTAGGTGATTGTTTTCTTAATAGATAAAAATGAAATGGTAGATAATATGGAAACTATTCTTGAGTATGGTTGAGGGGTTGGAGGCATGGCTCAGTTGGTACTACACTAGTGAATGAGCAATAGCAGCAGGCACTGAGCTCAAGTCCTAGTGTCAGTTCTAAAAAAAGGAAGGAAGGAAGGAAGGAAGGAAGGAAGGAAGGAAGGAAGGGAGGGAGGGAGGGAGGAAGGAAGGGAGGGAGGAAGGGAGGGAGGAAGGAAGGAAGGAAGGGAAAAAATATAGTGGAAAGATCTATCATCCCAAATCCTTTCTCATGCAGTTGCTTTACATACAGAAAAATGGTTTGTGGTCTCATTCTCTCTGTCTCTCTGTCTCTCTGTCTGTCTCTCTCTGTCTCTCTCTGTCTGTCTCTCTCTCTGTCTATCTGTCTCTCTTTTTTGTGCTGTTTCTAGAATTCAAGACATTCACTCCCTTCCTTCCTTCCTTCCTTTTTCTTTTTTTGTGCTGGTTCTAGAATTCAAGGCTGAGCACTATCCCTGAGTCTTGAGCCACAGCACCACTTCTGGTTTTTTGGTGTGTGGTTAATTTGGAATAAGAATCTCATGGACTTGGGCTGGGAAGGTGGCTCAGTAGCAGAGTGCTTGCCTCGCATGCATGAGGCCCTGGGTTCAATCCCTCAATACCACATAAGCAGAAAAACCTGGAAGTGGTAGAGTGCTAGCCTTGAGCTGAAGAGCTGAGGGACAGCGCCCAGGCCCAGAGTTCAGGCCTCACAACCAAAAAAAAAAAAAAAAGAATCTCATGGACTTCCTGCCAGGGCTGGATTTGAACCATGTTTCTCAGATCTCAGCCTTCTGAGTAGCTAGGATTGTGAGCCACTTGTGCTCAGGAGGCTGAGATCTAAAGATGATTGTTCAGAGACAGAGGCAGACCAAGCAGGAGAGTTTATGAGACTCTTAACTCCAATTAAACAACCCCTCCCTTTCCCCTCTCCACACACACACATCTATCCAGAAGTATAGCTGTGGCTCAAGTGGTAGAGTGCTAGCCTTGTGTGCAAAAGTAAAGGGACAGCATCCAGGCCCTGAGTTCAAGACCCAGAACTAGCACCAAAAAATAAATATAAAGGGCTGGGAAGGTGGCTCAGTGGTAGAGCACTTGCCTTGCATGCTCAAGGCCCTGGGTTCGATTCCTCAGCACCACATAAGAAAAAAGCCGGAAGTGG